AGCCACAGCGTACGCCAGTGCTGAATTGCTTCCACACAACGACTGGATATGACAGTAGCCCTTCGCAAAATGCATCGAGAACTCTTCGAGATCGCACAACCCTGACGAACAAAATGGCACCCGCATCAGCTGTTCGTTGGCATACACGCCAACTTTCAAACTGCCCGCGCAGTTGTACAAAACCAATGCTATATTTGCACCAAATGGCGTCGTTTTCGAACCGCGCCAAATCCGGTTCTCGGCTATCTCGCCGGGATAATCGCCCGCCTTGAGCACGTGATCGTCTTCAAACAGTCGTAATCGCGCGATCAACTTTTGCAAGGCGCCGCAGTGCGTGAAATGAAATTTTGCCTTGAAGGTGCGATCGAGCGCCGAAGCACGGAAACTGTCCACGATGTTCTTCGCAGTTTCGCACGCCAGCATTGAGTTTATCTTGTTGCCATGCGCATGAACGTGCCAGCGGTCCAAGTCTTCGAGGTACTCCATCGCATTCAAGTCTGCTTGCGAACTGAAGGGCGCACACCACACGGACGCGTTCCCCGTGAAGTTCCAGGCAGTTTCGAATCCACACACGTTGTGGGCAAGGATCACATCTTCTGCAGGAAACAAAAGACCATGATCCAGTCAGAGATAGCATTCAATTCAAATTTAATTAAAAATTTCTAGAATGCCCTACGAATCCCAGATTGCGGGACCACCCATAGGGCCACTGTACAGTACACAAATTTTCAACTGCATCATGCATAAAATGTCCACAGCTCAATTGAGTTAGGATAGGATCGGTAAAATGACGGATCCGGTCTAAAATTCACGCGACATCTATACTCGAAATTCTAAGGAAACCAGGCATTGGAGCGAACCTTGGATCGAAATTCAATCACAGCTCGTTCATCTCTTTCAAAAACATGCGACTAAAAAGAAGTCCCTCAACTAAGTTATTCTTTGAGGAAAAACGATGCTTTGCTCGGCGAAAATGCTCGGCGGAAATATAATTTTAAAAGACAGGTATTTTATTTACCAGGCGTCACAATTTCGTCTGGAATTCCGAATAGCTCGACGAAGTTCCGACGAATTCTCTCAACAGGTTCACTTTTCAAGAAACGCTCGTACTCAGCCTT